TTGGCCTTTGGTAGGAAATCACATTCAAAGCCTTCTGTTCACAACCTGTCAATGGATAATATTTATTAAACATCTACTAGATGCTAGATACTATTCTGGGCACTTTTCTAAGTACCTTGCATTATTAATTTACCTTCATAGTAGCCCTGTGATAATGAATTCATTGTTTCCCATTCTACAGATGAAGATGAAACTGGCAAAGAGCGCTTTTTTTTTAAATGTTTATTTATTTATTTTGAGAGAGAGAGAAAAGAGAGAGAATGAAGGAGGGGCAGAGAGAGGGAGATAGAGCATCCCAAGCAGGCTCCATGACAACACAGAGCTCAGTGCAGGACTTGATCTCACAAACTGCAAGATCATGAACTGAGCAGAAATCAAGAGTCAGATGCTTATGCTACTGAGCCACCCAGGCACCCCAGACAAAGAGTTTTTAAGTAACATGTCTAAGATCATACAATGAAATAGCAAAGCCATGCTTCCACCCACAAAGTTTGACTCTAGAAGCTACACTCAATCTCCATGTCATTTGTCTCTTCATTGCTCAAGTGAGGAAAGCTTATTCTACCATTCTACCTTTATTTTCCATTTTTCCCATTGTGCTCTGAGGCAGAACCCAGCTAGGTGTTTCTGCAACCTGTTTCCTCTTCTTTCTGGGCCCACAGATTTTACTTCCTAGTGTTTCCCTGTGATTACTGTAGCTGTGTGACTGAATTCCAGCCAGAGGAACATGAGCAGAGGTGATACGCATCACTTCCTGGCCTGGCCCATTAACCTTCTCGCATATGATGCTGTATGTGCTTTCCCTTCCTTTCAGCTTAAGGAAGGTAAGCATGGTGAGCTTGGATGCCATATTTTGAAGTGTTGGAGCCACAAAATGGAAGAAGGCTGGATCCCTGCATGTTTGGGGGAAAAGAGTCAGGAACCAACCAGGAACATCTGTGTTAGATTTAAGGGAACAAAAGATAAACTTATGTCAACTTTGTGCCACTATATTTGTTGGGGGTGTTTGTTGTAGCAGCTAGAGTTATCTTAACCAATATATATGTGAATTGAGCTGATCTGTTATCCCTGGAACATGTGTCTCGCTTCTGCACATACTTTTCCTTAAAATCTCATTCTCCCATTCCAGTTATTCACATCCTAAAAATTATTCAAGGACTAAACCAAGACCAATTGCCTCTAAGCAGCTCTCTTCCACACCCATCAGCCACAGTGATATCTCCTTCCCTCAATGCCTATATCACTTTGTTGTCTATGCCTTTCATGTGCCCTTGTCATAGCTTCAATTTTGGATGTCTTGTTTTCCCAATGCGGTTGTAAGCTCTTCAAGGTCAAGGATCATGTTTTTATGCTTCTTGTATGTCTCTGAAGTATGTAATACGGTGTTGAGCCTTGGGAATTTTCAATAAATATGTGTGGGGGAAATGAATTTATAGATGCATTAGGCTCAAAAAAATCTGCTTTCCTAAAAACGACCCTTCATTACTTCAAGCAGGAAGGCATGTAAACTATAATTTACTGGAGTTGGTGTTTTTATTCTTTTCACTGACATATACATTCTAACACTTTTTGACAACTGCTTAGAGGAGACAGAAGGCATGCTCATCAAATTTCAGTTGACACAAAACTAAAGGTAATAAATAATGCACAAGATGCCAGAATCAAAAGTAGGCAAGTGGGAATGAAGCAGATAGCATTTAATAAGGATAACTACAAGATTAAATTTTTAAAAACCAACAGCCCAGGGGCACCTGGGTCGCTCAGATGGTTGAGTGTCCGACTTCAGCTCAGGTCAAGATCTCACAGTTTGTGAGTTAGAGCCCTGCATCAGGCTCTGTGCTGACAGCTCAGAGCCTGGAGCCTGCTTCGGATTCTGGGTCCCCCTCTTTCTCTGTACCTCCCCCACTCATGCTCTGTCTCTCTCCCCAAAATAAATAAACATAAAAAAAGGCCAGCAGCCCAATTTCAGTATGGAAAGACATGGCTAACAGAAAAACCTTTTTAAGTTTTAATTGGCTGCTGGGCTGACATGAGCCCAGGGTGGTATACAAGACCCCACGCTAAGTTAGGCTCCAGGCACCGAGTGGCAAAGTATTCAGGTTTTAACAGGGCACTGGTTTTAACAGGGCATGAATAAACATCACTAGGTGGAGGCCAATTAGAAGCGGATGTAGCATCAATGTTGGGTAAAGGAGGGAACGAAGGGCAACGTCAGCGCATGGGTTAGCTTTCAGCTGTAGCATTAGTGGGAATCTCCTGTCTAAGGCTGCCATTAAGTGATTTCTGACACTAAGCTACCTGGGGCCCCTAAGAGTTTTGCCCCCAAATAGGTCTTAAAGGTTTGTTATTTTACTTTTGGCCACACTCTCCTGTGTCAGGGTCAGAGCTGCCCTTCACTTAAGACACTTCACTTTTGAAGCTGAGAAGTACGTCATCTGGGTAAATTCAAGTCAGCTTTGAGACAGGTGAGAGAAAGCAAATCACATCTCCTCCAGGCTCAGTTGGGACAATCATTCCAGGATCCTCAGATCTGCTTCTAGAAACCCACATTTGCTAAAAACTTGCCAGAATTCTGGCAAGAAGCCTATGGCCTAAGCCTTAGCACTGGATCATTTAAAAAGTGAATACAATCTTAGGCAGTGCTAACAGAAGCCTAGCATCTGGAACAAGGATCCTGCTGTCATCTGTGCTGGTCACAACACACAGGAAGAATTGTTTCTATTCCAGATACCATGATTTTTTTTTCTAAATAACATTTTATTTTTGTTTATTTTTTTTTAAATATGAAATTTATTGTCAAATTGGTTTCCATACAACACCCAGTGCTCATCCCAACAGGTGCCCTCCTCAATACCCATCACCCACCCTCCCCTCCCTCCCACCCCCCATCAGCCCTCAGTTTGTTCTCAGTTTTTAAGAGTCTCTTATGCTTTGGCTCCCTCCCTCTCTAACCTTTTTTTTTTCTTCTTCCCCTCCTCCATGGTCTTCTGTTAAGTTTCTCAGGATCCACATAAGAGTGAAAACATATGGTATCTGTCTTTCTCTGCATGACTTATTTCGCTTAGCATAACACTCTCCAGTTCCATCCACATTTATACAAAAGGCCATATTTCATATAGCAGCACTTTCAACAATAGCCAAATTATGGAAAGAGCCTAAATGTCCATCAACTGATGAATGGATAAAGAAATTGTGGTTTATATACACAATGGAATACTACGTGGCAATGAGAAAGAATGAAATCTGGCCAGATACCATGATTTAAAGGGATACAGGCGAACTGGTGTGTGTCAAAAAGAAGATGACCAGAATGTTAGAAACCAAATCACTAGTTACTTTTTGGTGGTTCAGGCTCAAGGCCTAGAAGGGGTCAAGATGGTGGGTGGGAGGGTGGTGTCAGGCAGTGTAGATGTTAGAACTGTCTTCAAGTAATGTGAAAGAATACTAGCCTATTAGGTAAGGCTAGAAGACAGAACAGGAACCAGTGGGTTTTAAGCCCAAAATGAAGATTTTAACCTTTATAGCTCTTCAAAAGTAGAATACGCTTTGTAAGTAAGAGAGGTTTAAAATGTTTTAAGATCTGGGGCACCTGGGTGGCTCAGTTAGTTGAGCATCTGACTTCAGGTCAGGTCATGATCTCAAGGCTCCTGAGTTTGAGCCCCATGTGGTTGGGCTCAAAGCCCGGAGCCTGCTTCAGATTCTGTGAGTCCGACTCTCCGCACCCCTCCCCCCACTTGCGTGCGCACTCGCTCTCGCGCGCGCTCTCTCTCTCTCTCAAAAATAAACATTAAAAATTTGTTTTAAATAAAATGTTTTCAGATCTGATGATTTTCATAGATGTTCTAGCTGGAATTCAGGACCACTGGGTGGGAAGTTAGAGGATTTCTGATGTCTCATTCAAATCTATTGTTCTATGATCTAATCAATCTTTAAATTAGAAATGTGCGACAGAATATGAGGAAACAAGATTATTACCTGAGATTATTTTGGAGCTAGGGTCTGGGTTTTGAAGTGGATTTTCCCCTCAAAAGAAACAGAATTCATGGATGATTTAATCTACGATATGTAAGAGGAGAAAAATAGGCATTAAGTGCCATTAAGAAGAGAAAGACACTGCCTAAGGTGTATGGAAAAAAGAAACATTCAACAAATACCAGGAGAAATTGCACGGAGCCTGTACAGGCGTGAGGGGAAGGCCAGGGAGAAGGCTGGAAACCTTTTCCAGGGATGAGAAGTTGTAATGCTATGAAGTCTGACGCTACGCAAGGTGAGCGCTTCTCTGTAGTGGGGAAAGCGTGCTTGGTCTTTGCCTCCCCTAGTCTGCGGCCCCTGGAGACAAACACACCAGAATCACATTGTTCGTGACAACGGACTGTCCTTGAAATACTCTGAGTTTCTATATGTCTGTTTTTCTCTACGTGTGTTTTTGGACTCTTCCTCTTTATCACAGACGGGAAGAAAAGCACTCTTTTTACAATCGCGAGTCTCACCTGGGGTGAGGGGTCATTGGCGGACTTGGGTACGAAGAGAGAGAGATTCTCACGCCAGGAAGTGGGGGTGGTACCACGTGCTGGGCAACCTGGGACCAAGAGAGTAGGGAGAGAGGTCAAAGTATTTAACCACGGAGGCATCATCCTATCCCTTGCCTCTTGACCCCCGAGAAGCCCTCCAGTCACTCTGCCCAGAGCACTGCACGCTCTCCACGTGCGCCTTGGGGCTGATGTGAGGTGTGCACCTGCGGCGGAATACAGGTAACGTCAGGGCCGGGTCCACCGAGGTCCCCCACCTGCGCACGGCTCGCTCGCTCCCCGCTCCCTCCGCCGCCTCCGCGAGCCCACTCCTCGTGCGGTACTCGCCACTACAACCCCCACCTAGGCTGCCGCAAAACCCGAGAGCGCCGGGGTGGGCGCGCGGGTTGCGCGCGGGCCGGCGCCGGGAGCTCTGGGCATGCTCAGTCGCGCGGGCAGGGCTCCGGGCGCGAGCGGGGCTCTTTCTGCATCACATTCATCTGCTGCCAAGGGAAGCCGCCGGGCGCTCGCAGGCTCTGCGCGCTGCCCGCGGGAGGACCCGGCCGCCGCGCCCCCGCCGCCGCCCCGCAGCCTCCTGGAGCCATGGCAGCGCTCGGCCACCCCGCCGCCTTCGGCCGGGCCACCCATGCCGTGGTGCGGGCGCTGCCCGAGTCCCTCTGCCAGCACGCGCTGAGGCGCGCCAAGGGCGACGAGGTGGATTTCGCCCGTGCCGAGCGGCAGCATCAGCTCTACGTGGGCGTGCTGGGCAGTAAGCTGGGGCTGCAGGTGGTGAAGCTGCCAGCCGACGAGAGCCTCCCCGACTGCGTGTTCGTGGAAGACGTGGCCGTGGTGTGCGAGGAGACGGCCCTCATCACCCGACCCGGGGCGCCGAGCCGGAGGAAGGAGGTGAGTGCCCGCCCGGCCACGCGAGGGGCGCGGCCGGGGACGCGCACCGGTCCCTCCCCCGCCGCCCGCCGCCCGCTCCCCAGTTGCAGCCGGAATAGCGGAATTGGCCCCCGGGCTAGTTTAAAACTTCTCATTTGGGGGAGAGGGTGTGTCTGAGAGAGAGAGTCAGAGAGAGAAAGAGAGAGAAGTTCATTGTTCACGCCTCCGGGTGAACAGAGCTTGGGTGCCTCCAAGACGACCCGACTGAGTGTGGTTGTGCGGACTCCGGCAGGTGGGTGGGGTGGGGAATCCACCTCACAGACATTTTTATTTGGAAAGATTAAACAGTGGCAAAGACGATGCAACTCGGAGCGTTTCCGAGGGAGCAGGGGCAGGGAGGGTGGCTGTTCCAGGCGGGCGGGCGGATGCCGGGCGAGGACTCCCGGAGGGGGTGGGGGGCAGCGTCAGTTGGTGACACTGAAGCCCCCTAGCCTTGCCTAGGGTTTTCGGACCAGCGCGGGGCAGATGAACTAAGCGGGTGTCGGCGCCCACAGACCTAGGGCGTCCCGAGTTACTTTTGAGTGGTGAGGAGTGAGTCCAGCAGATTGTAAGGAGAATGGTTTGTTGGTGAGCTGTGAATAATGTGTTCGTGAATAGGCTAGGTGTGAAAAGCTGTACTCAGGGTAGAGTGCTGGGGGTGTGTGTCTGTGTTTAATTAGAAATGGTTGTTTCACAGATTCCATGATCTTTATTCTCTGTGTTTTTAAACTTCTAACAATTGGAGCTTTTTGTGTTCTCAAGGAAAAGAGACTCCTTTAAAATATTGCAGCTTGGGAAAATGGCTGTGATTGCTTTAAACCCGAGGGAGGTTGGTGGAGAGAGACAGAGTGAGAATGGATTTTAAAAAGCCATCTGGCCTGGGATTCCCCTTATTGACCGGCTAAGAGCCCAAGCTCAAGACTCTCCGTTGCTATTGCATCGAGTGGCATTGCAAGAAGCTGGTGTTTTCTTTCATATCTGGGCGGTTCGGGATTTTTTTCTTCTATTTTGTCTTTATTCAATTCACATTGGAAATGCCCCCATAGAGCTTATGGTTAAAATATGCTTGTTCTAAGGGCGCCTGGGTGGCTCAGTGGGTTAAGCCTCCGACTTCGGCTCAGGTCATGATCTCAAGCCTCGCATCAGGCTCTGTGCTGACAGCTCAGAGCCTGCAGCCTGCTTCGGATTCTGTGGCTCCCCCTCTCTCTGCCCCTCCCTGGCTTGCTCGCTCTCTTTCTCTCTCAAAAATAAATAAACATTAAAACAATTTTTTTTGAATATGCTTATTCTACACACGCTTCGCTAGTTAGTTGATAGAACCATACACGGGCTGAAAGAATAAGCATATTCCACTTAATTCTTACTGAGACAACTTATCTTTTTTTCCACCCTGCCTTAGCAGAAAACAAAAAGAGTAATGGGTCTTTTTCACTTTACCTTTTTATTTTCTTTGCCACACCTTTGGGTTTGTGAGATGGCCCACTCTATTTTAAACTGATAAGCATGTAACGCCATTTGAATACTAGTATATCCTAGGCCATATGACACAATTGTGGTTTGTGCTTAAAAGAGTAAAAGATTTCAGAAACCTTTTCAAAATCGTACTCATTTGAGGAAAGTAATCCAGTTTCCTGTCAACATACTGTCACATATTTAATCATCCATTTCATTTTATTCCTGTAATAAAACCTTCCCAAGTTTGGCCTTCCCAGTGCTAAAGTGGGCAGTGATCTTTCTCTGTCAGTTTTTGAGGCATACATTTTGGAACGGCTTCAGTCTTATATCGGTCTGGTGGCCCCCTGCCAGAGGCCACATGGTGTAGTGGGTAGGATCGTCAGACTGCATCCAGTTCTGTGGCCTTGGGTAGTGTCTCTTGCCTCATATTTCTCACCTGAAAAGTGGACATAATAATACCTATTTCATAAAGTGGTTGTAATAAATTTATTAATCTATCCGAAATGTATAGGATAGGACATTTCATGAATGCTGGTTATTATTCACTTCATATTAGGTCATGGAAGGTTTGCTTCTTCTTGAGCAGTGAGAAGTCTACTATATAGTGATGTGACATTTCTCCTTCCCAGGGTGAAGGGGAGTCATCTGCATACCTTAGGATCCATCCTAATCTGCTTTGTAGCACTTCCTCCCAGCTTGAGCTTCCTGCAGGTACACGTGGTCTCCCAAAAACACCTTTGCCATTGCACATGATCTGAATCAGCAGAGTAGCAGACCTTCCAGCTGGAGAGAGAAATATGGGCAGTTGTATTAGATGGGGTGCTTCTGGAAAGCAGGGCTATGCAGGGTGACTAACACTCTTTGAAACTGCTCACAATACCAGTTTACTGCCTTAGTTGTTGAGTGAATAAATGAATAAAATGAAATCCTAACTAGCCGATATTAACAAGCTGATAATAATTACTTCAAGGCCTTCTTTGTACTGTTGTATATATTTTTCATGCGATACTTGACTCTCTAACTGAAATTCCACAACGACTAAGGCATTATTTTAAGATTATTGCCACTGGTATCCTTGCCTTCTGTCTCCTTATTCTCTATTCTGTTCTTCACACCGTGACTAAGCTGGTCTTTCTAAAACTCAAATCTGATCCTGTCCCTGCTACGATGAAACTTCTTGAGGGACCCCTATTAAGCTTTATGAACCCATTGAACTGGACTCTCTTGCTTTTCCAGCTTCAGTTGCATCTCTGGCCCTACCCCAGGTGCCTACCAACCCTTTGGCTCAAGCCAGCTTCTTTCACTAAAGCTCACCATGCTGTTGCTTTTCTAGGCATACATTTCTCCTTTTTCTGGGACATTCCGCCTCTTTCCTCTTCTCCATTTTACCTAGCTGTTTATATTCATGCAGCACTTCTCAGCTTACTGGTATCATTAATATTACTAGCTACTCTCTCTCGGGTGCTTGCCATCTGCCAAACATTGTGTCAGATTTATGTCACAGGTTTCACTGAATGCTCACATCAACTCTTAGAGCTCAGTGCTATCATTATTCTTACTTTCAAGTTGATGGAATTGAGGCTTAGACGGATTAAATCATTGGCCAGGATCATAGAGTAGAACCAGTGAAACCAGGATTTGAACTCAGGTTTGTAGGACTCAAGCTCTAGTCACAACCACTGTGATACTAGACAACCAAGTCTAGGGTTGGCTCTCCTTTTATGAGCGCCTATGACTCTCTGCACTCCCTTCTGTGGTATTTGTCGTACTTTATGATAATGGCCTGTTTTACCTTTCTGTATCCCTCCACTGTTATGAAAACTGTCAGGGCAGGGATCACATCTACATTCTTCAACATTTTATAACCAGGACCTTGCACACAAGAGTCATGCAGCAAATATCTTTTTGAACAAGTGTGTCCATGACTTTAGGTCAACCTTAGATTTCCCTCCTTATGACATATTTGGTGTTTTGCAAGCATTCTCAATTAATAGAGCCCCAAAAGTTTCATTATAAGTGCAGGTGACTTATAACTGTTTTACTCTTCCTCTCCTTTCCCCTGACTCTGTCTCTTATTATTTTGCTTGTTTTTATAAAAATTGTGAGAAATCCTTCTTTATCAAAGCATCATGTTATATTTAATGACTTTTCTTTCTTGGAAGAAAGGACTGAGAACCGAACTCAAGAAAATAACCCTCTGTGAAAGCAGTGTTTGCCACAATGGGGCCTCCCAAGATTAATAAAACACAGACACTATCTGCAGGAAACTTAAGTTTTAGTGAAGAAAACTGTGTACAGAGCCAGCAAATAATGTTAAGTGTCTCATAATTCTGTGTCTTCACGAATAGGAATATTTTAATGTTTAATACTTTAAAGACAAATAAATTAGCTTTTACTTTTTTTTTTTCAACTTTTATTTATTTTTTGGGGGACAGAGAGAGACAGAGCATGAACGGGCGAGGGGCAGAGAGAGAGGGAGACACAGAATCGGAAACAGGCTCCAGGCTCCGAGCCATCAGCCCAGAGCCTGACGCGGGGCTCGAACTCACGGACCGCGAGATCGTGACCTGGCTGAAGTCGGACGCTTAACCGACTGCGCCACCCAGGCGCCCCTAAATTAGCTTTTAGAACTAGTCTTTTTTTTTTTTTTTTTTTTTTTTTTTAGTTTTTGAGAGAGTGTGTGTGTGCATGCTCATGTATAAGTGGGGGAGGGGCAAAGGGAGAGGAAAAGAGAGACTCTTTTTCCATGCCCACCGTGGAGCCCGACCAACACAGGCTCCATCTCGTGACTGTGAGATCATGACCTCAGCTGAAATTAAGAGTTGGATGTTTAACCAACTGAGCCATCCAGGCACTCGGAGAACCAGTCATATTTTAAATGAATCCAGCTTAATTTCTGAAGGAAAAAAAGTCAGTTTACACATGTCAATGTCCTGTAAACAAATACCTAAGAGCTAATGTAAGACAAGTGACAGGGTGTGAGAATTGGGTTTTTAAAAAATTAAAAATTTTGGATAAATTATACACTTCTGCAATACCAAAATGAAAAGGTGTAAGAGGATAAATATGCAGTGAAGTTGTCTCCCTGCTCTTGTACCTGACTACCTGGTTCCCTTTCTTAGAGGCAACTTTTAATACCATTTTCTTGATTTTTCCTTCTAGCAGGTTTTTAGTACCTAATAAATGATTAACTGACAAAGGCTACTCAAGCAAAATTGTAAAGTATATCCTGTGCCCTTTAACCCCTCTTTGAGAGTTATTTTATCCTTTACCAGGTATCAAGGATTGGTATGTGGAATATTTTGTCTAGGAGAGAAAAAAACAGAGACTCATTCTCACAGTGTGAGAATGGCTTTAATTATCCTTTCCTGGACCATTTGCATTTTTAGGGACCTCTTTAGGAAGGCAATGCATAGCACAGTAATAAATCTCAAAAGTGGAATTAGACATTAAGGTAGGGCAGGGAGGTATAAATGGAAAGAGTGAGCAATACATATTTCGATAGAAATTCCCCTTTTATTAGAGCA